TCTGACCTTTCTGGTTATTTGTCACAGACATTTGATTCCAATGAGAACTTGGGTGGTTTCTTTTGAATAATGACTTCCTCTATGGTTTAAATAAACATTTTGTCACAACTTGTAAATATGTAATTTTTCAGAACACAGGAATTTTTATTTCTCCCACAATTGTGCATTTCTAACACCTTTGTGTCTGTGTGGTACCTTACCTTCCCTTTTCTTCTATTAGTTTTTACTTAAGCCACCCTGGCGGGGGACATACCATAAACTCACAAATCTAATATTTTCACCGGTCAAAACAAAGAGTGTTATGTTAACTTTCTTGGGCAGATGTGGACAAATGTGTCCCATGCAGTGTCCCTCGAGTGGAGGTGAAGAGAGCAGTCAGGTTGCAGAGGAGGAGGGCCTGTCTTGTCCTGCAGACCCACTACCATCATAGGCTGCTGTTGGCCAGGTGGAAATGTGACTGTCCAGGACAGTGTCATGCCACTCAATCTTGAATACATTTACAACCTGCAGAGGGCAAGTGGACAGCACTCTGTGTCCCCACTTTCCTTCCTTGGCATTTAGTTTCTTGGGCTGTCTGAAGGTGGACTAGATCCTCAGACTTTTCCCTTGCTGTAGTCCTCGGTAGCACCAGCGCAGCCTCCTGAAACCGTGTTGAGTAAATTCCACTGAAAGGTTCATCCACCCATTTTATTATTGACGTTTTTAATTAGTTCCCTTGAACAAGGGAAGTGTCTTTAAGCGATCTGTTTATTGTGGGAACAATAACTATGCTAATCTTACATTGTCCAAGTCCAGGAAGCACCACCTTTGGAAAGCTCGAAGAAGGTAAATTTATGCCCGTTGTTTGGGTAAATGAGAAAAGTGGTTTGGTATCTTCTATTTTGGGTGTAAGGGTAATTCCCCTAGCAACACTTTCCGTTCCTTCTGCTGCTGTCACCTTCAGTGTTGGGGTGGCAGGCTCCCTGGTAGCAGTAAGTACCACCTCTGCAGTGTGCTGAAGAAGACCTCAGAGGGGGCTGAAGAGATGGCTCGGTTAGCAAAGTGCTTTATGGACCTGAGTGCATGTGGAAGAACGGAGAGATGTGTGGTAGCATGTGCTCGTAATTGGCTGGGAGACAGAGACAGGTGGTCCCCTGGGCTCACTGGCCAACCAGTATAGCCCACATGGCCATTTCCAGGCCAGTGAGTGAGCCTGTAGCCAAAAACAAGGTGGGTGGCACCTGAGGAATGATAATGGAAGTTGTCCTGTGGCATACACACATGTGAATGTGCACCCGCAAGCACATGCACACACACACATGCACACACACACACACACTCATAGACACACACGTTCCTACTTACAAACACACACATGTACACTCATAGACACACAGACACTCACACATACACACACACATCCATAGTCACATACACACATGTACACTCATAGACACACAGACACTCACACATACACACACACATCCATAGTCACATACACACATGTACAATCATAGACACACAAACACGCAACACTCACGCACATTCATATACATGCATGCAAGACAAAAGAAAGCACTCATGGAATTAAGGAACATGTCTGATTTCCCATTCTATCTTACACTGGGCTCAGTGCTTGATGTCCAGCTTCTTAAAGATGTTGACAGTGACTTCTTGAGTACTGTATCTTCCACAGTTGCCCAAGGACTAGATTAGTTGATACATACCAGAGAATTCTGTTGCTATCTAGCTGTGCATGCCACCTGGCACCCAGCAATTTCCCTGTAATTCCTCTCTTATTTTGGCAGATAACAAGTGAAGAGTTTGCCACCTTTTCCCACCATCTCTATGTGAAGCTATGCGGTTGAGTGGACACATAAAAGCATTATCTTGTTTTTTTTATTGTGCTAAAATGGGCATACCATAAACCTTATCATTTTAACCACTTTGGGTGTGGGGTTCTATGGCCTGAACTGTAATACATTGTTGTATAACCACCACCATCTGCTTCTGAATCCTTTTCATTTTCCAGACTCTGTCCCAATTAAATGGTCACTTCCTGTTCTCCCTTCCTCCATCCCGGTCTACTTTCCATCTATATGAACCTGATTACTCCAGGGATCTCACAGGACTGGAAACTCATAGTGTAACCTTTCCGTGACTAGTGTCTTTCATCTAGCACATGTCTTCAAGGATCATCTGTACTACACCATGTACCAGAGCCTCTGAAGGGATGAATAATGTTCCATTTTATGTATGGCATCACCTGTCTCTGCTTCCCCAGCACTAGGATTCCAAGCACATGTGTGTGTGTGTGTGTGTGTGTGTGTGTGTGTGTGTGTTCCATCTTGTTTGTCTATTTATCCATCACTTGATTTCTTTTTTAGATCTCATGGCTCATGGCTGTTGTGTGTAATGCTGCTATTATTATAGTAAGAAAAATCATCTCTCTGTCTCTCTGTGTCTGTCTCTCTCACTCTCTGTGTGTATACTGCATCTATTGTATGTGTGAACATGTATAATGTATGTGTCTGTGTGTGCATGTGTGAGTATGTGCACATGCCTGTGGAGGCTAGACGTTCATGTCAGGAGTCTTCTTGGTCTGCTCTCCACCTTATTGTTTGAGACAGTCTCTCACTGAACTCAGCTCACAGATTGGCTAGACTGCTTGGCCAATGGCTCCAGGGATCTATCCACATGTCTCCCTGCTCCAGGCACTAGGGTTACATCTGTGCGTGACCATGTCCAGCTTTTAAATGGGTGCTGGAAATCTGAACTCAAGTCTTGCTCACATGGCAGGCACCTTAGTGACTGTGGCATTTCCCCATCTCCATTTCTTTTGAGTCTGTGCTTAGGAGTATAAAATGCAGTCTTGCTTTTGTTCTGAGAGGTGGGCTATGCCCCTGGCTTTGTGATTTGACCTCCACAACTATCATGTGTCCTGGACCTGTCCTTTGTCCATCTCTAGGCACCTCATGAGTAGTCCATGTTGTCAAGCATGAGCTGCTTATTTTGTGAAACATTTTGCATATGTGTGACCTGTGGCTCTGTCCACACACAGGACCTTGGACAGATCGTTCCACTCACAGTTAGGAGCAAAGGCAGAGGACATGCTGCTGTTGGACTGCTGCCCCTCCTCTCAGTCCTCTCCCTAGCTTTCCAGCTCGAGCCATAATCCCCCATCCTCACCATTTTTCAGGAAGATGACCAGGGCAGCCCAAGTGACAGAGTAAAGGAAAGGCAGCCTTAAACCAGGGGCTCATAAACACCCAACAGAAGCCTTGTTAGAATTAGCTGGAGTTCCTGGTAGGGTTTAAGAGCAAATAGTGCAGAAAGGTGACATCACCTGGTTGGGTGCTTACAGCTATTCAGCAGAAGCGATTGGGGAAGCCCTGCTGTAACAGTCATGACTAAGTTCCCAGACTGAGAGCTCCAGGCATTGCTGAACTTTCTTTCTGCAGATGAGTTTCCATTTTCTGACCATGGGATCAACAGTAGCAACCTCCTTGGAAGGAGTTCACTTTCTAGCTATTTTCAAAGGCACAATGCTTTTACTCTTGGGCTATCTTGTTATTATCTTTCTACCTTGTCACAGTTAGAGGGCAGCCTGCCCCAGGAAAGGGGGTCTGGAGGACACTTGAAAACAAACATGCTAGAGTCTGAGACAAGAAAGTTCTCCTTGCTCCCAGAGTTCACTGTGAACAAGTTTAAACAGCATTTGACAATTTCCCCGTATAATGGTCATTGCAGGGAGTTGAGTGGAAGTCAAAAATGAAGGAGTAGATTCTGGTGTAAAGTTACCCCTGGTGTGGGAGGCCTAGTCTTTCCCCAGTAAGATTTCTTATTGTCAAACACAGTGCTTCCATGATGGCGGAGGGATGGGTGTCTGAGTATTCAGGTCTTCACTCTCATTCACTAAATCTGTCCTTGAACAAGAAGTGATGAGAAGCACATGTTCTGAATGGGTTTTCTTGGGTCAAACTCCTTGATCGTGAGAAGGTATCACAGGGACTGTCTGCTTCCAAAGATTATTCTGTGAAAACTCTGTTGTGAGGCTGTATGCGTTTGTATTTAATGGTGACTGTTTTAAGTAATTCAGGAAGCTTCAGGAGATAGCCTTCATAGTAAATAACTCTACTTATGAATTCTTTATAGATTTGGGCAGAATGTTCTTGTTGGAATTTCCCGTTTGGCTGTTTCACTGAATTACTATCTCCTTTCCTTAGGGTCTGTATAATTAGATTCAGACCATGAAAATGGACAGACTTCTTGCTTGATAGCTCATGTTCTAGCAGGAACATTATCCCAAGGCCCATAGTTCACTATACCAAGCAGATATGAGTTCCTGTTCCCTCTGATCCTGTCTGTGCTTAAGAATATCTTTGCTGGTGGCTAAAGGATTCAGGGTCTGTTTCTAGGCTAGGAGAGTTTCTAGGCTGTTCCAGCCTGAGCACGCCATCACTAGGATGAGACAGTGTGATTCTCTGTTGTCAAAGAGTTGAATTTGTATTTACAGAGGGGCTAGTCATCCTCACTGTGTGGTCCTTGTTTGTGCTGTTTGAAAAGGAAATAAGCTGCAGAATGAAAGATTGCCTATCCTTACCAATTAGTTAACCCAAGTGCCAGTACCTCATGTAGTACCAGATCACACTATAATTCCATCCTCACCTATCTGTGAGAATTAAACTTCTTCAGGGAATGTTCTTGCTGCCTACCAAGGGACCCTAACCTGTCCATGCTGTATAGCAGGGTGACAAGAGGCACTTCAAAGTGGCCAATGCATAGCAGCCTCCACTGCCGCTATGGGCCTGTGTTGACATCCACCGTCTCTCTGCACTAAGATGCAGCTGTCCACATGTTTTCTTCTTCCAAGGACATTCGGGAAGGAGCCCTCTCTGCTGGACACAAAGTGACAGTAGTACTTGTGGTCATGCTCCTTGTTACTGTGCTGGGGTTAGAGGGGCCTTTCTGAAACCAAAACCTCTCACCCTAACCTTTCTCTCCTCCCTCTTTGTTCACAGTGGAGCCTTTTCTGAAGTGGTTTTAGCTGAAGAAAAAGCAACTGGGAAACTCTTCGCAGTGAAGTGCATCCCCAAGAAGGCACTGAAGGGCAAAGAGAGCAGCATCGAGAATGAGATTGCGGTTCTTAGAAAGTAAGTGCTGGAGGGAAGGCTCTTCTCCCCATCTTGTCTGAGCATCCTCGGGAACAAGGATGAGGCTGGCTTCACAGAGGTTGGGGAAGCTACTAGCTGCTAGCCTGCAGAAAGAGATGGGTCCACAGTGCTCTTGCAGTGCTCTGAAAATGCCTCCCTATAGCTCCAGAGTCTTACAATGTAGCAGTCACTGGAAGGAGGCCTTTCCAAAGGGCAGGTGTATACTGACTTGATTTTGAACTGAGACCCTGCCGTTCACCACAGCTGAATGGCACTGGTTGCTTCCAGAGGCCCAGTCATTACTATAAAGTAGAACTCAGACAATTTGCATAGCATAGTGTGGTGAGAATTGCAGTTATTTTTGCCACTGGTATTGCTTTATTTTTTTATAAGGATGTCAAGCTGGAAAGATAAAGCCCTTGTCCAAACCCCCATATACGTAGTTTAGATGTGACAGAGCTCGGAATATCGATCCCTCTTGTGCTGTTTCTACAGTTTGTGATTCCTTACCCTCTTTCTCTGCCACCCACATGGCTCTAGGCACCGGGAGTTTCCAAAGAGCTTCACTTCCTCATTGAATTTTGTTTCCCTTCCCATGTGCAATAGAACTGACTCCAGATCGCATACCTTCCGGTACAGTGCCACTCGTAAGTCATTCTGATGTGATCTGACCCCTCCCCTGCCACATACATAGGTGACCCCCCTCCCAGCATCCACTGTGGTCTTCTAAGGTTGATCCTGACCACACTCCCTTTATTGTTAGTATTAAATCTTCCCACCATATGTCATGGACTTTGAGGGAACAAACCTTATATGGCACCTGCTTTTGCAAGTTTGGCATCTATCTGGAAATTTTTGAGTTGCTATTAATGAAAGATATTCAGAATATCCTTGAAATTTTTGGGGCTTAGAATCAGTACATAGCAAGAAATCCAGTACAGATAAACAAGTGGGATGGAAACAAGCCTTATCTAGGGACCTCAAAGAAACCACCACCCACCGTACACCCCTCCTGCATAATCTCTCTCTCACTTCATTCCTCCTGGGGCCTGCAGGGACCCACGGAGCAGTGCTTTGCCACCAGCCATCTAACCCAGAACTGCTGAGGTGGTCGGGACAGTCTGTCCTGTCCTGACCTTTGGGCAACTCAGAGGAGAACACAGACTTGATATCAGTGCTCCAGAACAAATGGCTCTCCATGGCGTTTAGTGTGAGGATTTGTTTTCCCTCATTTGTTGGGTTGGTTTCTGTGTTCTCTGGGTTGTCTGTTGAAATTAGAGAGTTGTGTGCTGTCCTGATGACTGCAGGGAATGGTTTGGAAGAAGAGTCTGAAAAAGCAAAATATTTGCATCAGATAGGAAAACACTATGTTAAGGAAACATTTATTGAAATGTTCTATTTTCCCATATGAAATCAGTGTTTGGGGAAGAAGTCAGTCACTGGTGACATATAGTTGTAGATGTGTTACAGACAGTTGACATTTCAGATGGAAAATCCTTCTAAAGGTTCCACTTTGGGTCCAGAGGTTGTCTGGGCTTAGAAGTAAAAGAGCCCGGGGAAGTCCTTACACAGTGTTGGAGTTACTTTCCATCCATATGGGCAGTGGGTACAGGTTCAAGCTTTATAAACTTGTCTTGGTTCATGCCTTAAATATTTTGGTTTAAGTAGGATCTCCACCCAGTGCCTCACTAGTAATTACATCTTCAGACAGGGTATTTAAAATCTGGGAGGATCGTGGATATGGAATGATTTGTTTTGATGGCTTCTCACTATCAGTTCTAGGGGGTACCTAGAGGCATGGGCTCTTCTCTACGGAGTAAAGAACAATGGAATGATTTCTCAGGAGATAAGAGGTGGTTTATCTCCTATACTAGTTTATTTTGTTAGGCTAAAAGGAACTCCACGTCATAAACAGCTAAAAAGAAAAAGTATATATACTCTACCCATTCCACATGGAGGGATGCTGTCTCTGCCTGGACACATGGGGGAGGGCCTAGGCCCTGCCCCAGATCATAAGACAGACTTTCAAGATACCCCAAGAAGGGCCTCACCCTCCTTTGAGAGTGGAGTGGGGATTGGGGGAGGGGCTGAGGGAGGCTTGAAGGGGGCAGGAGAGGAGGGGAGGGAAAGGGAGCTAGGATTGACATGTGAAGCAAATTGCTTCCGATTTAAATTAAATAAAAAATTAAGAAAATGCCCTACAGGCAGATATTGGGGAGGCATTTTTGCAGTTGAGATTCCCTTCTTTCAAATAATCCTAACTCCTGCCAAGTTGATATAAAGCTAGTCAGGGCACACCAGGAAGCAGCACTACTGGACATGGAGTCCTTGATATCTGAGATCTAGATTTTACTACTCACTAACAGGATAAAATTAGAGATGATTTGATAACAACATATCCAGGGGGCCAGGGATGGACTTGAGGACAGGCTGCATGGAGGAAGGGCAGTCATGTCAGTGTACCTTTCCAGGACAGAAAGGCAGATAGACATTCTAGTCAGAAGGAGCAACTCAAACAGAAGCCAGGAGACAAGGGCTGGCTCTGTCTTCCAATGGTAGGTTGCTGCACACAGTCCTGGGTTTGATTCCCAGCACTATGAAAAGGAAGGAAGAGGAAGAAGAGTGGAGAGAGACAGAGAGAGGGGGAAGGGAGGGGAAGGAAGGAGGGAGGAAGGGAGGGAGGAGGGAGGGAGAGAGGGAGGTAGTGGGGAAGATGTTGGAAGAAGCTAGGAGACGAGAACCAGGCTGTTATTCTCGGGAACTGGCTCAATTGATGGGGCAGAGGGTTTGAGGTGAGGCAAAGGGAGACCTAAGTTTGAAGGAAGGTAGGATGGTGGGGCATGCTCTGAAATTGGCTTTGGATCAGGGGCTCCAGGCAGTAAACATGAGGAGTGATGGGGTGATCATGAGAGAAGCTATACGATGAGGATTTATCATGAAATGTCATGTGGCAGAGCTTTGAAGGACTGATAGGAGGGAGCAGGAGCATGGAGTGAGGATATGTAAGAGGTCATGAGGTGAGTCTTGTAGAGAAATGAAGGAGGAACACATTAAAACAGGGGCTATGGGCTGCGTGGAAGAGATGGCTATGAGGATGCTAAGATACAGCTGGCTCTAAGATGTCAAGATTTGGAAGAGGCAGAGAGGCATTGAAGGACAAATAGAAGTTGGTGGTAATGCTTTGATTTCCAACAGGGGTAAGTGGGTGACTAATTTCCTCAGTAACTGAGATGAATAGTCCATGAGCAGGAAGGTAAAGGATTAGTTCTCACTTGGCCATGGTGGATTTGGAGGTCTTGGGGGATATTCAAGTATAGATGACTGATTGCCTTCCCAGGGCTAGAACTCATCCTGATCTGGGCTTTGGGAGAGAATAAACATTTCTGAAACACATACTAAAATAAATCTTGGGGAGGGTCTTGGAGAAATGACTTAGTGGTTACAAGCACTGGCTGCATTTCCACAGGATTTGTTCAATTCCCAATCTTCATGTGGTGGCTCACAATCTTCTGTAACTTCAGTACCAAGAGGATCCAACACTCTCTTCTGGTCTCTTCAGATGGTACACATAAATACATGCCGGTAGAATGCCTATATACATAAAATAAAGCAAAGGAACATTTACATATTAGATAATCGATTAATGTGCTCTTCCCTGGGGAAGACTACTTTTTTCAGCTCTCAGCACTCCTAAGTTGCCACTGGTTCTTTGTGTAGTGTTGAAACCTCCTGGTAACTCTGTCCTCATTAGGAGAACTATTGCTGTTGTCCCTGTTCAGCTCATGTTTAGGCAATTATGTTGGTGAGACTTCATGAGTGTAGCTTCTGACATTTCTAGAAGATGCAATCTCACAGCAAACTCCCTGTTTCTCTGCTTCCTCCAACCTTTCCACCCCCCTCCTCTGCAATGTTCCTTGGGCCTTTAGGTGCTAGAGTTGTATATTAAACATACACTCTGGGACTGGGCTCTACAATTCTGTATTTTGATTGCTAATGTCTTTCTATAATGGTTTCTTGCAAAGAGAAGTTTCCTTGATGAGGGGTGAGGACTACACTTACCTGTGTGTATCAGGACAAATGTTTAGAATGTAGTTTAGGGGTTATGCTGGTTTAGAAAAGTGGTGGTCCTAGTTTGTCCTCCCAGATCCATTAGCTCACTAGCTCTGGGTAGCTGGCTAGGTTTCTGGTATTAAACATCATCTACTTCTTGTTTGAGTGGGACTTCAGTTCATTTAGAGAGCTGTTGGTTACCACCAAGGTATGCACGCCACCAATATAACCTTAGGTTTATTGTGCCATGCGGGTTGTCATTGTGGTCCATAGGCATCGTGGGTTTCATACCTAGGTAGAACTCCTGGTTGCCTTCCTGAAAACACACATACAAGTAACATTATAGAGATTGAACAGGTTGTATTTATATATGTAGGAATTACACACACACACACACACACACACACACCACATGCATGTGCATGTAACAATAATTAATGGAAAAAGAGGCTTTGAATTTGAAAAAGAGAAAGGAGGGGTATAAGAGAGGGTTTGAAGAGATGAAAAGGAAGGGGAAATGATATAATTACATTATAATCTCAAAAAATAAGAGAAATTTTAAAAAGAAGTAAAAATAAATTTGTTTCAACAAAAAATAAAATAAGATAAATCCTTGCACAATATAACAAGTCAATATAGGTAGGGTATAAGATAGGCTGCCCATATCCCCTGGCTGTTAGTGTATTTCCGTGCTGTGTTTCATCCAAATGGATCCATTTAAGAGGCTGCTTGTCCTCCTACATGCTAAGTTTATTGTAGGGTGAGAGATTTATTTATTTCATTGGATAAAAGTAATGCAGCTAATACATCCTCGTGGAAGTCTTTGTACTTGCTCTGAAAATAGTTCCAAAATGAATTTTCAACTTGATAAGTAGATATTACACCAAGTTTAGAGGGGGAGAAAAAGGAAGCCTGATAAACATCATGGTAGGCTGTTGCTATGCAGCAGA